GGAAACCCTGTACAGGGTCGCTATGGGTCGGAACCGACTCGACGGCACTTAACAACAACAACACAATACAGAATGGAAGAGCTCCATAAATGCTTTTGTTCTTGAAATCAGAAATGTATCATTCAGGCTTATGGCAGGAGTTTGTGTGACAAATTGGTTTCATAACAGCACATGCAATGTAGTTAATCTACTGAAGCACTGCATTCAAAGGAAATCTGGGACTAGGCCCACAGTTAGTCAGTCACAGCTAGAAGAAGCAAATAGTCTTGTATATTCTGTTACTGGTTTTAGGCACACCATTGGGCTACTATGCATATGTTATCCTTTATTTTAGCTGTTTATTCACCAGAAAGCAAACACATGGCAATCAAGAATTCTACTACTGAACCATCAATGTCCCCCAATGTCCCCAGAAAATGCACATCATGCTCAGCTACCACTTATCTGTTAGTGGTGGTTTGTTTCACTGACACTGAGCAGGCTTCAGCAGAGCTTCCAGACTAACATAGATTAGGAAGAAACACCTAGCAATCCACTTCTGAAAATAATTGATTAAAGACACTATGGATCACACTGGTCCAATCTAAACTAAATGGCACAGGACCACACAGTGTTTTATTTCATTGTGCATGGCATGACGTCATCATGAATCTAGGGCCAACTCAACAGCAGCTGGAAATAACACCATTGTGAGGATAAGTGTATGTGCCTTTCCTCCTCAATAAGACTTTCCATCCTCTGAAGGTAATGGATACTTCTTACGGTCTCCATTCTGTATTATATACCATTTGTATAAATAATTGAGGATTAATCAGATATCATGTATGTTTATCAAGTACAAATTCTAAGAATTCTCTTTAAAAAGAAAAAATAGCATTGAAAAGAGGAAATTTCCTTTACCTTTAGGTTCTACAAATGTAAGGTGGAGGGTATTAAATTAATAATGAACTTTAGAGGCACCTTTAATAAATGGCAAATCATCCCCTTATTTCAGATTGATTTTCCGGATGTCAGGTGGGAACATGTGGAACCAAATCCTGAAGAGAGTAGAAGTAATCTTGGAGAAATACAGCAGCAGTGCTTAAAACATATTGCCAGACTGTCACAGAAGCAGTCTCCCTTGTTGTAAGTGACCTGGGTACTCTGAGTGAATTTGCCCACTGTTATTGATATTAATCATGCTTAAAACACATGGATATTAAATACTTTTTTGTACCTGTTTTTTCTGCAAAATTGCTTTCATTTCCTAAAGTCACACTGATTGGATGATCAATTAATGTCTAGGATCTGATTAAGTAATTGTGTATGCTTTGAAAAATTTGGTCCCATGATAGTTAGCAACTTTAGGCTAAGGAAAAATAAAAAAGTTTTGAAATCATCCAGTTCAAAACAGAGAGTGATTAGCTCTATGTCAACATACAGTAGTAAAAAATTACTGCTCTACCATCCTTCAAGTAGGTAGGAAGTTGTTACAGTAAATTTAAAAAGCAAAATTTACTTACCATGACAGATTTTAAAAATAGAAATAAGTCATGTGTTAATAGTGTTAAATAAGAGGTATTTAGATTTTGTCAAATATCATTTTTTCTGGATAAAAACAAACTTCCAGGAGGAACTACTGTTGAATTAGTGGGTTTAGTACTGCTACGTGGCACTCTGTAAGTCATAGATGATTGTGCTCATTACTATTATGTCAAAGGCGTAAAGCAAAGAAAGGATTTTATTGCAATATTTAGTTAGCCTATTAAACTCTAAATATGTGAGCATTTTAAAGTCCACTGGTGCAAATTATAATGAACAATTACTGAAACTGTGTTCTTTACATTACCTTAGCTTTTAAATTAAGAAATAAGATCCAGTGTAAGTTAGTGTATCATTTTAAATTGCCTTTCATCCTTATCTAGTTACAAAATTCTTTAAATTACATTTTCTCATTTGGGCCTACATAATCCTGTGAAAAAAGTTTCTCAGCTATATTGTCCCATTTTAATCGATATTCATGGGTCATGGATTAGATCAAACACAGATAATAACTAACAAGAGTTGTTTTCAAGTGCAGTCAAGTCAATTCTGACTCATAACAACCCTGTATATGGTTTCCGAGGAGTGGCTGGTGGGTTTGATCTAGTGCCTATTCTACAGTGCCACAAAGTTAGGAACAGTCAAATCACTGAGAGTGCTTCTCTACCCAGATTTAGAAACAGGAAAAAATACGGCTATAAAAAGTCTAGATAATTTCTAAGACCTATCCATCACTGTGTTTAAAAAATAACCTCTCTCTAGATTGTTCTCAAATGATGCTCCAGCACCAATAGCTCTCCTAAGTTACAAAGTCATGTTCAAATACCTTCTAATACCTCTACTTGAATTCCAGTAGAGTTCCAAACCTGATTTACCCAAAACAGAGATTCTTGATCATACTCCATTGCTACAGCTCATCCTAAATATATTACTCCTGCAGAAAAGAATTCAAACATCTGCCCATTTGAATAATTAGAAACATTGGATTTCTATATTAAACTTTTACTTCTTGTCTTTTCAGTGAACAACTCCCTATTCTAATTCACCATCAGTTCATGTCTGATCAAAGTCTAAAATCTAATTGCTTCTGTCTTACTCACTACCATCACCCTAATTCTAGTAAAAATGACCTCTTGTCTAGAATACTGCATTAATTCACTCTGACTGATTCTGCTCTTACTTTCTCTTCAACATATTCTTTAATGTGTGTCCAAAGGAATCACTCAAAAAGAATAATCAGATTATATAACTTCCCTTTACAAAACCTTTAAGTGATTTCTTATTACTGTTAGAATAAAATACCTTACAGTGACACCATCAAGGGTACAAAAGGAATGTGGACTACATCATATGACACTGTCAGAGAGGGTGACAATAAAATGACAATCTATAAAATTTTTGTGCTGTGTTTCAGGAAAAATGTATTATGTAAAAGTAATTATAAAAATCTCTGTAGTTAATTATAACAACAAATTTTTTTTTAATGAACTCAGCTTGCAAGTATCAATATACCTATAATGGTAAACCTCTATGATAATATACTTTTTGAACCTGTGAATGCACTCCAATCAGTTCTGCCATTATTACCCAATTCCAAAGATGCTCAATTCAGATGGTTCCATTTGCATGCACTGTAGTTTTTGGTACTACCAGTATTTTTGTAGTTGCTAATATTGTCAAATTTTCTGGTGTTTTAGCTATACTATTGTCCTAAACAGTATTTGTATACCTATGTCAATATTTTTTATATATATAATGAAGTGATAATTAAAGGAAAAGGAGAAAAATTTAAAAAGGCTTCTGCTGGTTAAGTGTCATTGAGTCAGTTCCAAAGAGTGATTGGTGGATTTGAAGTGTCAACCTTGCAGTACGCAGTCAGTCCTTATCCTATATTGCCACATCAGTTGTAGCTAATAATGTTGTAATTCAATGTAGAAGGATTTTACAAGACAATTATGTTTCAGTGTCCATATTCATACTATAAAAATTTGTTAGTATTCATACTCTTAAAAATATTGTATTTAAGCAACTTATAACAACATTTTTCACATATTATTATGTTATTAAAATTGATAATAAACATTACTGTGGTCTGGTGTGGCAGGAGGTCCATGTAGCGGGGGATGGAGCAACACTATGAGTTACCACACCATGGTGTCACTAGAGACACAAACCCTAGTGATTCCATGGATGCCTTAGACAGTATATCTTGTATCAGTATATGGCTCCTTGGACAGGATGGTTACCACCATGCTGTCTAGTTTAATTTTGTATTACTCTTCCTCAGTCACTTCAAGTGAGTAACATTAATCTCCTTCATAGACTCCAAAGGCACTATTCCATTTCTCATCTTAAGGCCTTTTTATTTGGTGTTCCCTCAAACTGAAATGCTATTTCCTCAGTTCTTCAAGCAGTTAAATATTCTTATATTTTATGTCTTCACTTAAATGTTTTCTCAAAAAGGGCTAACAAAGTCTTTCTCTACTTACTTTCTTAACATATTACCTTCTGTGTTATCATATTTAATATCAATATTTTATTATCTTATTTAGACATGTGTTTACATCTTTCTCCCATTCCCCAACCCATTAATCTGTAAGAACCAAGAAAGCAAGGAATCTTGTTTGTCACTGTATGTCAAGTGGTTTACATAGTATCTGATAGAAAGTACATGTAAAATGTGTTATAAGGAAAATTTCTATACATACAACCTGATATAAAAAGTTACACTAAAAGATGAAGATCAGAGAAGATTTTCCTATTTTTGTGGCACACATTTTGGTGATCTATTACCATATGAACTTCCTGTCATCTTACCTAGGTAAAACATCTCTTTCCTTATTTTTGCTGGCCAAGAAACAATAAATTTAAAATTTAAATTTATTGAAATAAAAATGGTCAAAATAAAACAACGATAACCATAGAAGCTGGCTTTAAATATTAAAAGTTTGTCTCATTAAATTAACCATAGTGAATTTTACTTGTTTTATACTTCTGTTTCTATTTAAGCTAATTACATACACATAAAATAACCAACACTTCCCTCTACTTTATCCACTCAAATACAATTATTAATGTTCAGTATAGTACAGTGGTATTCTGGATTGTGCAAACAGATTCAGAACAGCCTGCAATGTGATAAAATTTGTGTTAGAATTAAATTAACTTCTGTTTCCAAATACTATATATCATCATTTAGTTGGTGACTTTATTATTTCTTCTTTCCTATTGCTCAAATGTCTGGAAGTTCAAACTTTCTGAATTTCACTGAACTGTCTATAGTATTTAACAAGAGAAAAAATAAAATAAAAAAATTTTATGTAACAAAAGAGTGTTTCTAGGTATAACAAAGTTCCCAGAAATAAATGAATAATAACACTTATTTGAAAATAAATCAATACTTCCATATCTAGTCAAGGAAAAAGAATATAAACATATATGTATGTGTAGCACTGTCAGATAAACAAACACTGGACAGCTAACTACAAGATTGATGGTTCAAATCCACCAGCCACTCCTTGGGAACCATACATAGAGTCACTATGAGTTGGAACCAACTCAACAGACCCTGAGGTTAGCAACCTGACTTGTAACCACTACACTACCGGTGCTTCTTAGTTCAGGCATACACAGGCTTATTCTCAACAAAGCATGTTTAAACATGTTTCTGTGGCAGTAGTTGGCTGTAAAAATTTCACTCAACAATACCCTTTTCTTAGTCTTGTTCAGGTGCCTTCAAAACAAAGTATACTTTTTGTGCCATGGAAAAAAAGGATTTTCTTGTCAGAGCTAATATCAAATTTTTAATAAAACTCAGGTGTACAACTTCTCAAATTATTAAAACTTTGCAGAAGTATACATGAGTGTTGCCCCATTTTAAACAACAGTTTTAAGACAGATTGCGTGTTTTAAGGAAGGCTGAGAAGACCTCAACGAGACTTGAGGGTGTCAGCATCTACAAATGAAGACACTGTGGCTGAGATCCAGAAACTGGTGGAAGAAAACCATAGGACCATTAATGTGATAGCTATTGGAACTGGGATCTCATAATATATGACATTTTCAATTTGTAGTGAAAATTTTGACCTCAGCAAGTTTTTGGTTTTATGGATATCAAAAGTATTTTAGAAAGATCAGTTAGCTCAAAGAGCAATCTTTCCATCATCTTTTAAGTAATATCAAAGCTAATGAAGTTGATTTTATGGAATGAATCATAACCCCAGATTAGTTTTACAGTTACCAAAATCATCCACAGAGCAAAATCCAATCTGCTGGGCCAGTTCAAACCAGAGAGATAATCACAAGGTTTTAGGGATTGCAAAGGTATAATCTTGATGTTGTTGTTAAGTGTCGTCGAGTTGATTCCAACCCATAACGACCCTGTATAGGGCTTCCAAGGAGCAGCTGGTGAACTTGAACCGCCAACCTTGTAGTTCAAACAGCTTTGCAGTCTAGCGCATTAACCACAGCTCCACATCAGGACTCCATAATCTTGATAGATATTCTTAAAGGACATAGGATGATCACGGGGGCTTATTATAAAGAAATTTTAGGAAAATTGAATACTGCATTGGTAAGAAAAAGACAAGTAAAGTTACACTGCAAGTTCCTCCCCCCCATCCCCCATTACCACAATGTATCTGCTCATTTTTGAAGGGTAACAAGGGCTGTCCTATGAGAATTTCCTTGGGAAACCTTGCCCTATCGATTCTACAGCCATGACCTTGCTCTTTCAGAAATCTTTTTGTTCCCAAGACTGAATGAACATTGAAAAGGAAAATATTTGAGTCCCTCAAGGATGCTAAAACTGCCATTTTGATTTGGTGTCAACTGAAACATGCAGTATTTGCCAGGGAAAGGTTAGAGAGACAGGAACACCACCTTCAGAAGTTTATTGACCTAGATGGTGTGTATTGTTGAGAAACAATAACTCTACATTGTAATGTTTTGTTTAATATAGGTTTTAGGCTTTTATGATATTGTACAAGATTTTTTACTTACATTCATATATATATATAGAATCCTGGTGTGGCGCTGTGGGTTAATGCACCAGACTGCAAAGCCATTTGAACTGCAATGTCGGTGGTTCAAGCTCACCAGCCCCTCCTCAGAAACCCTATACAGGGTTGCTGTGGGTTGGAACCGACTTCATGGCACTTAACAACAACAACATATATACATACAAATATGTATGTATATATGTGTGTATGTGTGCATATATATATATG